AGGCTCAAGTGAGCTTTTCTGATCACATTTTGTCCGTCGTCCGTCTGTCTGTCTGTCCGTCCGTCTGTCTGTCTAGCTGTCTGTCTGTCCGTCTGTAAACTTTTCATATTTTCGACTTCTTCTCAAGAACCACAGGGCCAATTTTGACCAAACTTGGTACAAAGAATCCTTGGGTAAAGGGAAATTTAAATTGTTAAACTGAAGGGACATATCCCCTCGCAAGGGGAGATAATCAAGAAAAGGCAAAAATAGGGTTGGGTCATTAAAATATCAATCTTCTTCTCAAGAACCACTGGGCTAGTAAAGCTGAATCTTATGTGGAAGCATCTTGAGGTAGTGTAGATTCTAAATTGTTCAAATCATGACCCCGGAGGAAGGGCGGGGCCACAATGGGGAATCAAAGTTTTATATAGAAATATAGTGGAAAAATCTTTGAAAATCTTCTTCTCAAGAACCACTGGGCCAGAAAAGCTGAAACTTATGTGGAAGCATCCTGGTATAGAGTAGATTCTAAATTGTTCACATCATGACCCCTGGGGGAAGGGCGAGGCCACAATGGGGAATCAAAGTTTTACATAGAAATATAAAGGAAAAATCTTTGAAAATCTTCTTCTCAAGAACCACTGAGCCAGAAAAGCTGAAACTTATGTGGAAGCATCCTGGTATAGTGTAGATTCTAAATTGTTCAAATCATGACACCCGGGGAAAGGGCGGGCCACAATGGGGAATCAAAGTTTAACATAGAAATATATAGGAAAAAAATCTTTGAAAATCTTCTTCTCAAAAACCACTGGGCCAGAAAAGCTGAAACTTATGTGGAAGCATCCTGGTATAATGTAGATTCTAAATTGTTCAAATCATGACCCCCGGGGGAAGGGCGGGGCCACAATGGGGATTCAAAGTTTTATATAGAAATATAAAGGAAAAATCTTTGAAAATCTTCTTCTCAAGAACCACTGGGCCAGAAAACCTGAAACTTATGTGGAAGCATCCTGGTATAGTGTAGATTCTAAATTGTTCAAATCATGACACCCGGGGGAAGGGCGGGGCCACAATGGGGAATCAAAGTTTTAGATAGAAATATAAAGGAAAAATCTTTGAAAATCTTCTTCTCAAGAACCACTGGGCCAGAAAACCTGAAACTTATGTGGAAGCATCCTGGTATAATTTAGATTCTAAATTGTTCAAATAATGACCCCCGGGGGAAGGTCGGGGCCACAATGGGGAATCAAAGTTTTACATAGAAATATATAGGAAAAATCTTTGAAAATCTTCTCAAGAACCACTGGGCCAGAAAAAGTGAAGCTTATGTGGAAGCATTCTGGGGTAGTGTAAATTCTAAATTGTAGGAATCATGACCCCCAGGGGAAGGGCGGGGCCATTATAGGGAATCAAAGTTTTAGATAGAAATATATAGGAAAAACCTTTGAAAATCTTCTTCTCAGGAACCACTGGGCCAAAAAAGCTGAAACATATGTGCCCATGGAAGGATCATGGGGTAGTGTAGATTTCAAAATGTCTAAATTATGATAACAAGGGGGAAATCTGGTAAAGAACAGAATGGTCAACGCTTCTCAAGTGAGCGATGTGGCCCATGGGCCTCTTGTTTTTTTTTTTGTAAGGGGTGGGGGGGGGGGGGGGGGGGTCACACAGCACCTAATTATAGTACTACACAGATTAATACAAATTCAGAAAGAGACTATGAGTGGGCAATTAAAAAAAATACGAATCAGTTAAGATTTCTTGTTATTCACAAACATAATAACATTTTTCCATATGACTGAGGCAGAACACCATAAACATGTTTACATCAAGAACGTCCGCAGAAGTGACTTTATTTATAGCGCATGTGTATTAAACACAGTAAAAGAGTTCCCTTCAGGGGAAATAACTCACCTTTTGAAAATGCGGAATATGACAAAAGTTGATTCACTTGCAGCATACTTACTTTCTGTTACAAAATTATCTAGTTTGTGAGAATCCGTCAATCACTTTCATTTTCATTGTCTCCAATTTACAGACAAGACTAGTGTGTTTTATTTTTTTTTAAGTAAAATAAGATAATTTTAGGAACAATAGGTATTGGGTGTGTATAATTATTGTTTTAAGTATGTACAACTTTGTTAGTAGAAATACACACTCAAACATTAACAGTATTACAGGGAAATGTTGCAATATTTTTTTTTTGTGGAAGAAGGAAATTAGGGGGGGTCTTTGAGTGTAGAGCTCATACCACGAAAAGTGATGCGTCAACATATAATTTTTTACAGCTTAATCTTTTTCTTAAATATTATTGAGTAAAAATAATGCAAATATACGAAGTTTGATACCATATTTTTTTTTTTTTGAATGACGGAGATTGGCATGTGAAGCATATTTTCTCATATTAAATTTTGATACGTTAGTCTAACAAAGTGCATCTATTCATAATAATTCATGCAAAACAATGATTATATATTGTTGACTAACATATTTCTTCTCTCTTTAGGGTATTAAAATCGAATATTTAGACTTTAATTCATTTATATACAACAAAATCTTGGATAGGTAAATTTCAGTATTTCGGGGTATATACTCCGGCAGGTAATAGCGGAAAAGTGAAGATGCTGACATATGATTTTTCTTGTGTCTATCCATTGCTGGGATTTATGTCTATCTTTTAAAAGCAGATTTATTAAGATCGAGCCCATTTAGTGCAGAGTAAAGAACTACCTTAAATTTTGTAAAATTAAAATTGTTTCAATATTAATCCAAATTAAAATTATTCTCTTTAACAGGATTTTCATTTGCTTTTATTTTTTCTATTGTATGTAAGTGTACATGTATTCCGCATTACTTATTGTGAAAGGTGGTGAACATGTTTCAGGTCGTATAAATTTGCTATCTGATACATGACAGGAGTTATCTCCCTATAATACGTACGAGTTATGTTGCGTTACAAAGGCGATATACATGAATTCCTTCCCTCGTTTTAAAAGTGTCACCTTTATCCTTCCATGGACCTGTTGAATACAAGTAGATTTGATTGCTGTTATGCCTTAAAACAATTGTTTCATTTTTTAGTGCAAAATATTAGATCAACTTGGTGAAAATGTTTCAGGTCGTATAAATTTGCTTTCTGGTGCCGCTGACGGGGTGGCAGGCAAGAGTTATCTCTCCATAATACGTACGAGTTATGTCGGGTTACAAAGGCTCCTACATTGTAACCTCATTTTAAAAGTTTCACCTTTATCCTTCCATGGAACTGTTGAATGCAAGAAGAGTTGATTGTTGTTATGCTTTAAAACATTTGTTTCATTTTTTAGTGAAAAAATTATCAACTTAATTTAATCAGGATGCATTTTGAACTATTTAAAAAAAATCAGTTTCATCATAAAATTACAGCAAAAAAAATACGGACTTCTGACTGAAATGACTAGAGACGATGAAAATCCAGGTACTGCACATATATAACAGTTTGAATGGATGTAGGGAATAAACGAATAGTTCTCGTCTGATCGTTATGTAAGTCACGGGATCTAATCCCACTGAGGGACGTGAACACGTGTTCTTAAATCAGACCGATTAAAACGAGGTCCCTTGTTGTGGAAGTTGATGGCAGAAAATGATCCCTCGCTGATCAATGGCCTTCATGCAGTGCCAAGGTCAAATTGAGGCTTTCCGCGGCGACAATCGGCAATGCGAGGTACGAGTCATCCGAGGAAATCCGAGTGCCGCGGCGAACAATGGCGTCAATGTAACAGTGTTTCAGTGAATTATTCGCAGTGAGACGTTTTAATCAACAAACAAACTCATCATTGCAGTATTTAGGACGTTTACAAGCATTATTCATCGTTAATACATAGAAATGTAGAATAAGTCATTTTTTTTCTATTTTTAGGCTATTTATTTTTTTTTCTTTCTGGCTGCCCTCCTTCCTTTCCAAAAGTGTGTTTTTTGTGGATCGGATGTATGTCTTCATGTGTGTCTCTATGTGTAGGGAGGAGGGGGTTGGGGTCGTGAGGGGGATGCAGAAACATGAATCTATTGATTTGAGTATTGCATTTTTTCATTGACCAAGACAGGAATGTGCTGTCCAAGAAGTTGATTTTTGAACTGCTTGGGCAGAAAAATACAGAAATTCCTTTAGAAGCTAAAAAGAAATATATGACAGTTGATGGAAAAAAAATCCGTAGACGTTTTAGGAAGAGGGGGGGGGCAGCTCCGTTGAAAGCCTCTTTAAATTCAATATATGAAATGTTACAATTACTCCCCTCCCTCCCTGTCTTTTCCTGCAGTTTCTGTGAATCCTGCTAAACATGATTGTGTATTAATGCTCCCCATGCAAGATCGCTTAATTACAATGTCTTATTGATATTTTTTTCCCTTTTATTTCCTTTCCATTTTTCGTACTCCTCATCATTCTGCTATATGTAAAAAATAAAAAGAAAATTAAGGTAGGGGGAATATATGTTCAAGTTCCACCTAAAAATATTTCCTTCAAATAAGTAAAAATATTATTACTAAATTGTTTGCCAACTTTTGTCATCAGATGTCCGACAAACAAGAAAAAAATTTGGTGTCGCTATTAAAAGAATGAACTCCCTACTCCTGGACTCTAAAGCAGATGCTCGAATCACTGTGTCTCGCGGGCGACGAAAGCAAAACGTTATTTCAATTTATAGCTATTATTAAGAATAAAAATCATTTTTTACAGATTTGCATTCGTATTTCAGGATTATTATTAAATTAATTAATGATAAATCTCCTCATCTATTAAATATAATTTATTCAGCGATGGTTAAAGTTAATATTAAGAAAAATGTGGTGGGGGTGGGGTGGTTCACATCCTAAAACATCTCTGTTCAATAGGACTGAACACATACATGTACATAAAGTGTAAAGAAAAAGATTGAAGTGCAGTTCATGTAGTTCGACTGAATGTTAACAATTCATTTATTTTATTTTATTAATTAATTTGTTTGGTGATTCATAATTTATTTATTTGTTTGTCATTTCAGGTAAAATCCATAGCTATGAGCCGGAAGTCAGATGTCAACTTTATTGTTTACTTATATCTGATAAATATCGGATTAGTTTCATTGAACAATCACACCAAATCACAAAGGACAAAATCAGACAGAGGTATTTCCCAGATATAACTGCTGACGGCTCGGTAGATCTTCCTGATGAAATCACAGAAACACGTGACGGTGTGATAACCTTTATATCAGACGACATCCGACATGACGTCATGTACGCCTTTGTTACGGAGTGTCTGGTGGAGGACAGTGATCTGGAGTTTTTCCTGACCACGGCGTCACGTGACGTGATCTCAGAATACTGCAGACTCAGGAAGTATGAGAGGAGTGAGGGAGAGAGATGTCTGTATATACCGGACAGACCGGAGAAGATGTACGACCTCTTCATAGACAGTCTACAGCTGGACATCATCACACACTGTACCATGTCTGACAGGGTGATTCATGGCAGGATCTGTAAACGTTGTAAGTATAATGTCTCAAAGATCTGTCACTAATTATGTGGTTTACTGGTTTATGACAGTTGCAGTGAGAGAGGAAAGTATCGTTTTAATTACTATTTTGATTGTAACTATTTTTTAGATGCTTAGCAGCTAATGTTTATGCATTTAATAGTGTACATTGTATCCTGGCACAAAACCGAGACTGTAACATACAAGTTTTAATCAAATTGTTTAGATGTCCTAATCATTCTATTTTTCATACAATTTCCAAGGAATGTAAACAAAGTAGTTAAGAAGCACAGTAAAATATTTGTATAATTCTGCTTTCCAAAGTACATGTTAAACTGTTACACACATAAATGACTAATTACTAGTTACAATGTACATGATGTACTACTTATTAAATCATCAAGCTGAAAAGAAAGAAACACGACTAAATCCCAATTTTATCAAAAAAGAAAATCAAAAGAACTTGAAAAGAATTCACATGCATGAGGGTCATTCATACAATACAATGACAAAGTTCCTCATCAAATTATTATTTTTACAAGATGAAACATAAAGAAATTTTGAATTTCATATTGAAAAAAATATAACTTTTGTCGATGGTTGAAATTCATTCTGTTTGAATATATAGAACAAATGATTTTCAAAAGCTAAATGTTTATATTTCACCACGGAGCACAGTATGTAATGTAACGTGAAGGCCATACGCAACGTAGTTTGGACTTTACTGAGTTCTTCCCTGGAGTTGAAGAGTTCCACCAAATGAAAGACCTTTGTGCAATACTTTTAATGTCTATGGATTTTTACACCTCTTCTAAAACATATTTTAATGAGCAAAAATCTGGAATTTGTTTTGTAATTTTTATACAATTTTCTTTGAAAAATATGAAATTTTCCATAATTTGATATCTTTTCAATAACCCTGGTAACGCATGCTTTTTTTGATTTTTTGTTTAAGAACATGTAATGGCGTTTCTCAGTTGTCAGCTTGCGTTTAATCAATACAATTCATTTTTAGCTGACCTGAGCCTTCGGCTCAGGTGAGCTTTTCTGATCACATTTTGTCCATCGTCCGTCCGTCTGTCTGTCTGTCTGTCTGTCTAGCTATCTGTCTGTCTGTCCCTCTATAAACTTTTCACATTTTCGACTTCTACTCAAGAACCACTGGGCCAATTTTGACCAAACTTGGTACAAAACATCCTTGGTTGAAGGGGAATAGACATTGTTAAAATAAAGGGCCAAGTCCTTTCACAAGGGGAGATAATCAAGAAAAGACAAAAATAGGGTGGGGTCATTAAAAAATCTTCTTCTCAAGAACCACTGGACCCGAAAAGCTAAGACTTATGTGAAAGCATCGTAGGGTAGTGTAGATACTAAATTGTTCAAATCATGACCCCCGGGGGAAGGGCGGGGGTATAATTGGGAATCAAAGTTTTACATAGAAATATATAGGAAAAATCTTTGAAAATCTTCTCAAGAAACACTGGGCCCGCAAAAGCTGAAACTTATGTGGAAGCATCATGGTATAATGTAGATTCTAAATTATTCAAATCATGACACCCGGGGTAAGAGCGGGGCTACAATGGAGTATCAAAGTTTTACATAGAAAAATATAGGAAAAATCTTTGAAAATCTTCTTCTCAAAAACCATTGGGCCAGAAAAGCTGTAACTTATGTGGAAGCATAATGGCGTAGTGTTGATTCTAAATTGTTCAATTAATGACCCCGGGGGACAGGGCTGGGCCGCAATAGGGAATCAAAATTTTACATCGAAATATGTAGGGAAAATCCTTGAAAATCTTCTTCTCAAGAATCACTGGGCCAGAAAAGCTGAAACTTACTTGGAAGCATCTTGGGGCAGTGCAGATTCTAAATTGTTCAAATCATGACCCCCGGGGGAAGGACGGGGCTACAAATGGGAATCAAAGTTTTACATAGAAATATATAGCAAAAATCTTTGAAAATCTTCTTCTGAAGAACCACTGGGCCAGAAAAGCTGACACTTATGTGCACATGGAAGGATCCTGGGGTAGTGTAGATTTGTGGGATAGGGTGGGGATGCATTATGTATTACAAGGGGGAAAGAGGTAAAGAACAGAATAGTCAAAGCTTCTCAGGTGAGCGGTGTGGCCCATGGGCTTCTTGATTTTTTTTTTCGAGCTCATCTCGCTCAAGTTGACCCAAAAAAGAAAGCAAATTGACATGGTTGTATAGAACGGTGCAAGGGCAATAATTGCGGTATAGCAGATAGTGCACTTTCAAAGCAAGTGTCCTGTAAATAATGTAACAAATAATCTTTATATTTAATAAAACGAATATTTCCTTGGACAATTTAGCCCATTAAGACAAACTGTTATCAGTATTCATAATGTTCACAGTCTTTTCCTGTCCATATATCCTTTTCCCTCGAAGTTGGAAGGCTTTGGGTGTTTTAATCAAAAGTAAAATATAATATTAAAAGTAATCATTTAAGATATTAATGTTCTAATTACTTCAGCTTAGAGCATATTCTAGATTGATAGATTGATATATGTCTTAAAGATACATATTAAAAAGAAATTTCATATCTCTTACACAGAAGAAATACTATGGTATTTTTGCATATTTCTTTCAATAGAAACACTAGATGTGTTTGTGAAAAACCATGCGCCCGGCGGCAAGAAAATTTTTTAAAAGCTTTTTTAAGCATTTACGCCACAGTCAAGGTCACAAGGCACTTGGAGTCATTTGGAAGAATTTGATTGGCATAGTATATATACTAGATATGAAGCTTAAGTCTCTATCTAGTATGGCAAAGGTACGAAAACTATTTTGTGCATAAGGTCACAGTCGATGTCACAAAGTTATTAACTTTGGTATCATTTGAAAGAGCTTAATTTGTGGAATGAACATACTTAATATGAAGTCTCTATCTTTCATGGTTCAAAAGTTATGGTGTAGGTTAATGTTTGCAGATAAAAGTTATTTTTAGCATATAGGTCACAGTCAATGCCCCTTTGTGTCATTTAAAAATGCTTTATTAGTGGAGTATGCATACTAAATATGCAGTTTCCATCTTCTATGATTTTAAAGTTATGGGCAAAGACATAAGACACAGTCAATGTTATTTTCAATGTCATTAATTTTTGTGTCATTTGAAAGAGCTTTATTAGTGGAGTATGCTTATTAAATATGAAGTTTCTATCTTTTATGGTTCAAAATGTATGGCGAAGGTTAAAGTTTGCAGATAAAAGCTACTTTTAGTAAATAGGTCACAGTCAATGTCACAAGGTCATTAACCTTGGCATCATTTGAAAGAGCTTAATTAGTGGAAATGCATACTTAATATGAAGTCTCTATCTTGCATGATTCAAAAGTTATGGTGAAGGTTAAAGTTTACAGATAAAAGGTATTTTTGCATATAGGTCACAGTCAATGTCCTATTGTGTCATTTGAAAGAGCTTCATTAGTGGAGTAGGAATACCAAATATGAAGTTTCTATCTTTAATGGTTCAAAAGTTGTGACAAAGGTTAAAGATTGCAGACAGACAAACAAACAGACAGACAGACAAAAACAATCTACGCACCGGATCTACCAACCCTGGTGCATAATAAAAACGTCATTCAAAGTGTGTAAATTGTTAAAATGCTTCGTTGAAAATGACCCAATAACATTTGCAATATTAAAATTTTGATACATCTAAATACAATTTTTGTGATATTTCAAATTGTAGGGGGGAAGGTGTGAATTTATATACTTAGATAAATTGAGCTCAATCCCAGGGTTTATGGATTTCACAATAAAATATATTAAAAACACCACACATTTCTTTGATTTTTAAAACAAACATATTGAACTTTTTTTTTAAATTATGTGACTTGGCAAAATATTTAACTGTTTGAAAAAGTATTATAAAAAACCTTTAATTCAAGCAATGCTTTTTAGATTTTAGGGGAAAATGTATCCATAAATACAAAAGTCTCCAATGAAGGTGAAAAGAAAAAAAAATAAATTATTTTTTCTTCTGTTTATTTCTATATGATATTGCTGATTGTTTAATGATACAGTGAGAGTCCCTCATGCAATACTGTTCTGGGACCAGGAGTCTAGAGAGCGGTATGTGGAGTACGCTAAGAGAGGAACACAGACAGTCCACCACGCCCGGGGGATGATTGTAGGATGTGCTGGGGCGGGGAAAACCACGCTACTTAAACGTCTGCTAGGATGTAGTGAGGAAGAGATTAAGGAAGTAAAATCTACTGAGGGATTGGAGGTGCATGAGGAAATATTTCATATATGTGATCAAACAAAATCACTAAAAGGTGAAAATAATAGTATTTTATTTATATGACTATTTTTTTAATATGTAAGATTGATTGATTGTATATTGCTTAACATTCCTCTCGAGAATTTTTCACTCATACGGAGACGTCACCGAATGCCAGTGAAGGGCTTCAAATTTTGACCTTGACTCGGCACTCAGGGCCATTGAGCAGTGAGGGATCTTTATCGTGCCATCGACTGCCTCTGTTTTTTAGGTCTCATCCGAAGGACCTGCAACTTTCACTTCAAAGTGCCGAGTGCATGGCGAAGGAACAGTTGCTATCCATTTCAACGACTAGGTCTGTCGCGGCCGAGATACGAACTCACGACCTCCCGAAAACGGAGCAAGTGCTCTAGCGACTGAGCTACCGTGAACGGTAAATATGTAAGAATACTTGAAGGGATATACAGTTACACATATGCACACTCATTGCACTATTTGTGTATCTAACAATACTTCTCACAGTTTGCGCATACAATTAGGTACAGACAAATTTTATCAAGAAAGGCAGTTAATTTGTTAATTTTGTTTCAAAAATTTCTTTTAGGCTGCTGACCTTCTCTTTTTTTAAAAACATATCATTTGATTCAGGCAATTCTTGTAGTAATTTTAAGATTGAATAACTTTCTTCGATTTTTTTTTATTTTTAAATTTCAATTTTTATTGTCAATTTGTTTTAATTTCCGGCTGCAAACCACCAACCTATCCCCAACCTGCATCTTCCCAAAAAATGCCAGTTTGCTTCCTTGTTCTCAGATTTGATGCACAAAGCATGCAACTTTGAATGGTAGAAAATTACTGATATTTAGAGAAAACTTAATCTGGTATGCATGCTATGCCCCCCCCCCCCCCCCCCCAGATGATATGGATCCTGACTATTGTAAAAAAAAGTTCCACCTAAAGATAATCTCCACCTAAAATACTAAGTGTTGCAATAAATCTTTATTTATTTACCAAAATTTTACTTTATATTATAAAGTTATACTGCTTACCCTTGCTTACTAGGTATTTATATATTGTTTAAGACATGACCGTAAAATTCGGGCGAACACGGGGGAAGTGGCCCTACAATGATTTTGTCGATAAATACAACACTTTAGAAATACCTAGCTACTTGGTACATGTATCCATTTGCCCTCTGAACAAAAACATCTTTAATGGCGTTTTTGGATTCTTTTTTTTTTTTTTTTTTTTGATAGTTGATAGCCCCTACACCAATGAACTGTATGGTTGTGAAGTTCTATGGTCGATACAATGATCTTATCAGCAAATAAAATTTATCATTGAATTGACGACGGATTTTCCCGTTATTTTCTGATCATGACAAGGAGAATATGGCTGGTGTTACCTGTCGGCAGGGGATGCGGACTCCACCATGACACTTGATCCCAACTCTGATGTTTCGGGGTCCGTGTTTGCTCTGTTCTTATTTTGTATTGTTTTATTGACTTTAATTTGAAATTGAATACTGTTCGTTATCTCCATATCCTTCCTAGTAACACATCTGCCCCCTCCCAATGAAATTGTTTCTTACAGGCCTTTGACATTCCTCTTATTTTTTTTCTATCGAGTATGGAGACATTATCATCAACGATCTATGGTGGGTGCCATTTCGTCTCATTCATACGTAACTCATGCATGTGGTCAAAATATATCCTACCGCGCGGGGATGCTTCACTGTGCGGTGCTTTTATTGCTAGCGCCTTCGGGCGCTAGCAACTGCGTTAGTCCAAATTCCTTGAATATGCATGTTCGGCTTCATGGCCGTGCATTCTGGGAAAACTAAAAAAACTACTATAGATAGACGGTATGCTTATAATTTTGTTGTATCATTAAATAAATATGTTTATTTATTGTTTTCAGACCCATTTTCATGATTTTTCTATTAACTCTGAGTGGTAATTACTGTAAATTTGAATTATCTCCCTTTACAAAATGGGTTTATTTCTCATCTTGATATTTTGTGCCTGCTAAATAGTGCATTATGTCACTGTTAATAATACTTTTCAGAATTTCAAACAAATTATTTAACGTCACAAAGGTGGCAACACACGACAAACTATATTACAGACTTTTTGCTTACTCAAGGAGGATAAGATAAGGTGTTCTAGCGTTGAAAGGATTATGGAAAGAAATTAGCCAGTTGATGGTTACCGGGGTATCAAAATACTTATTGCATTAAAATAATTTTTTTTTGTTTATTTATTGTGTAGCTTACATATACAGTTTAAAGATAACTACATAATTGTAATAGTTCAATTTTCCCGTTTTTCTGATGGAAAAGCCGGAGTCATTATCTGATTGTTCTAAACAAAGACAAGGGTTTTTTTTTGTGTCTAAGTACAACCAAAGATAGACTCTAATTTTTGATTGGTCAATTCATTCAATCTTACAAATTCCAGAAACAAGAATTTACACTGAAAATAACGAATAAATCCATTATTTATAAAAAGAAATTCTGATTTGCATGGCTTTTTAAAACAACAGTTTCTTGACAAAGATGACCCAATGGACCAATCTACGTCACAGAGGTTAAAAAACTACACTGTATTTTCTTTGCTTATTGCCACGTTCTATTCTTAAACCATCTGATTCAATGCCTCAATTGGCATCTACACCATATTATATAGAGTCTCCCCTCTCTCCAGTAAAGGTCATAAATGTTCCGTTGCGCCAAAACTCGATAGGTAAAGACCTCTCCGCCTTCGTTTCTTCATCTATATGTCTAAAAAGTACACTTCACAAAACAATTATATAACTGTATTACAATCAAGCCTCGATCAAAATTAAAGAAATCAGCCAAATAAATCACTTCATCATGGAGCTTCCTTTCTGTGTTTAAAAATTGCTACGGCACTAGCTCACCTATCTTTTAAAAAAAAAAAACTTGTTTTTAATATCATGTTGTAAATGCTGATGAAAATAAAACGAAATACGTTTATGTCAATGTTGTACACCGAAAACTTCATATATCACAGAATAGCTTTTTTTCTGTTATCATGTTTTTTGTCAAATATTTTTAGTGACTGCGAAACTAGAAATTGCAATATCATTTATTGAAAATACCTCTTTTAAAAATATTTGTGCATGAATATATATTACATCTTTTTTTTTAGATCTTAACGAGGCAAATAGGCCATTCAGTTAAAAGAATAGTACATGAATTATATCACATGTTGATTTTGATTTGAACATATTTTATTGTGTAACACAAAAGGGTCAGAAGCATGTTCTTACACCTTACAAGTTTTTTCCCTGAATCACATGTTTATTTCCATAAAATCACATTCATTAATTGTGAAACTTTATTCATATGTTATTTTGAATTTATGCACGCCGTCATGATATATAATATGTCGGACTTGTCCTTGATATATGGGGCAAAGTAAGGCCATCCATATCTCACGGTACGAAATTGGTGTATTTACATCAATTATGTGATAATAATAGTAAACTAAACTAGTGTAAAAGAAAGCCCCATATTTTCATTTTAAACTTAGCATGATATGAAATTGTTCATGAAAATAACTATAAGCACGTAATATTTATAATACCTAGGATTAGGAAAGAAGGATTTAAATAAAACAATGATAAGATTGTCTTTTGTTATGCTCATATGAAGATAAAGCCTCTTTTTATTGTACAAATTGGAAAAAATATGTATGTGTTATTGTCATAAAATATTCCACCATGAATCTTACAGGAAGATCTCGGGGTAGAGATAATTTTGAGAGGAGTGAGGAAAAGAGGGGTGGACCTTCAGATAAGACACTAACTTTCTTTGACTTTGGTGGACAGTGTGCGTACTACGCCTGTCATCAGATTTACCTGACCAGGAGAGCCTTTTACATTGTGGTTGTAGACGCCTCTAAAGACCTTGATCAGGTGGTAGATAAAGCGGTGTGTGACCAGATGGACACCGTATTCTCTGGATGGACATACAAAGGTTTAATCTTAATGTAATACTGTGTCAATAAAAAAACTTCAAATAGAAATTGAAAATTCTCAAACTTTGTATAGGATTCATTGCCAAATTATACTGCAAGAATGTTAAAAGCATTTTATTGTTTTTTCTGCATATTTCTTGTGAATGAAATACGTAGGATTTCTTATTTCTGTCATAATAATGAATAAGGCTCCTGTTTCAGAATACTTTGTGTTTTGGTTGAAATCTATCCACACCTATTGTTCAGCTGTAAAACATGGAAGTGACGACCAAGTAGAAGTACTTATTGTAGCAACACACTGGGATAAATCATTATATAAGGCAATTATTAATTTAATAAAAAAAAGATATGTGATAATGCAATTCTCAGAAAACATTATTGATCTTTTAATTCTTACATAAACATAACATGTATTTAAATTTGAATTTAAAGATAAAGTGCATGCAGGATGATTCTAAATTCTTTTTACAGAACAAATATTCTCTTTTGCAATCATTATACAATGCATTACCCAACGATTCTGATACAAACCAGTATATAAGAGAAGACAGATGTTTCTTAGCACGCTTTCCAGCCGATCAACCCTTAGCTGATTTAGAAAAATGTATCATAGATATCACATTAAACGCAAGGTGGAGTGAGAAAATACCTCACGAATGGGTTTTCCTCAATGATGAAATCAATGAAAAAAGCGACAATCAACCGATATTATCATTTAATAACCTACATGGAAGGTTGCCAGTCCAAGAAGATGCCAAAACGGAAAATGCTGTTGACATGCTTCGATACTATCATGATGCTGGAAAATGTCTTTTCTTTAACGAGAAAGGTCTTCAAGAATCAGTTATCATAGACGTCCAGTGGTTCATAAACGCATTCAAAACCATCATAACAGACAAGTTACACGTGAAAGGGATACACGCAAGTAAAATAGACTGGAAGGAGTATTACAAAACAGGAAATCTGAAAGATACACTTTTAGATAGAATATGGGAACAAGAGGATAAGAAATCACAGGTGTTAGAAAGAACCGATGAAATTAGAAGAAACGGTGGACATTATTTGGATCACAAGAAAACCTTGCTGACGTACATGATGAGGCTAGGATTGATAGCCGTCGGAAAGGAATGTCATTATGTGCCATCTATGAACAAAAAGAAGTTTGACATCGCACAGAAAGAATTTATTCAAAACGCAGAGTCAAAAACCTCCGTTTTAGTGTTCCTTTTTGACTTCTTGCCTTTTTTTTTATTTTACCGCCTTGTTGTGACATTAATGCAAATGAACGATTTGGAAGTCTTACGAAGTAAAGGAACAACATGTCTGTACAAAAACACAGCAATGTTCAATTGCAGAGATCATTATCTGGTTGTTGCTGTTACAGGTAACTCGATCCAACTTCAAATGTTGCACTCTAAAGCAGACGGGTGTTTGGAAAAAGAAATCACAGTAGCAATAAGACAAGGCTTTGACACAATTTTGAAGAATATCACAAATACGTTTCACAAACATCTTTCGTATACAGTAGGATTTACTTGCCTTGAAAAAAAGAATCAGATTATTGGTATAGAAATCGAGGATAATTTTATTGAGGAGGAGAAGTTGAGGATGGGAATTTCCATGAATTGCCCTCTGCATCAGGTAGATGACCTACATGAAATTAATCCTGACTATCTGAGCGAGTTTTGGAAGTAACTAATCACTGCAGTTTAATTTATCAAAAATTCTGAGACTCTCAGTTATTTTTTTTTCTGCATCTAATGTCATCCAAAGTATCATTAACAAGGAATTTCAATCTGCTGGAAAATTAGGTGTTTATTCATTTTGAATGCCTCGTACAATATTCCATTTATTTATTTTTTTTTTTGTAAAACTACATGTAATAAATGGGATTGATTAGCTTTGCGTTAAACTGTGAATGCATCCTTTTGGAAGAGCGTTGTAGCAATTGTATTTGCTTACTTTTACTTTTACCATATGATTTATAAATTTAGAGTGCAAATGCAAGAGTAGCGTCCTTTTTTGTTGTCTTTAAGTGTTGGTTATAATCGTCCTTTTCAATACGCTGAATTTACGAAAAGTATCATATGTTTTAGGAAAAATTACGAAATATTGCATTTACTCCTACTACACGATCAAACACAATCAAGAGAGTGTGCTTTTGAACAAACTTTTAAAAAAGCTTTAAAAAAATTGATAATATCGGTTTCAAGGATGAAACTTTAAGATTACTGTTGTCATGTTTTTTAATAGAGACAATTAAGAACATACAAATCGTGGACTTGGTATTCACATGCATATTTCTGTTTATCTTATATCCCATTTTCATTATTTTTAAATAGTTTGCACAATACTTGTACGTTACTTTTTCATCCTAAAATCATATGGAACGTGTTTTTTGTGTATAATTTTATGTATAATGTTTATTCATACATGTATGTGTACTGTATTTTCAGGGATCATATACATTATATCTTCGAATGAACATTGCGTTTCTATTTTATATCCATTTCTTGCTTTTATTTCTTATCCGATGTCAAATATTTAGGATAAACATTTGATGTTTTGTCTTCAAAACCCAATATTCTGTTAAATTTTAGACGTCGCCTCAACCTAAAAAATATCAATAGAACAAGTCCTTTGTCATAATTTTACAGGCTGATCCTTTTTCTTTACTCATATAACTCATAAAATATATATTTTAGACAAATATAATGTTACTTAATGTTTTACTGCAAATAGTGTACACGTATTTATTTTTGTCGTAATGTCTAAATAAAGTTTATATCCAAGTTTATTGTTGATATCTTTAAAGAATTTTATGAAAAGACTTTATTAATTGGATTTTATTTTAGAACTGGTGAAAAACTGTTGAATCAATGTGAGAAACACCTTAAAATTGGCAATCATTTTCAAGTAAAGGGGTAGATTGGATATATATGCCTTATCCGCGTTTTTGTATACAATATTAATGTTACAAAAAGGGTCACCCGCGTGGAACAGTGGTAAGAGAATCTGTTCTAAAGTGTCGAAGCACACACAAGGAGGTTATCATAACCTCGCGGATTCGAATCCCACTGTTAGACAGTATTAGTAGTATATGGTGAAGTGACAAACATAGGAAAAATGCTTAATTCTCGAGTTTAATGGACTGGCATACTCTACGGCTGAAAACTATATTTTATAAAAGCAGCATCCTTCTCCATGCATTTTTGTCGTAGAGTTTTCCCTAGTCATTTTTTAATAATTGCGATGAAAAAGAGAGAAGGTGTATTTAAATTTGATATTTTACTTGCTGATATTATTTTATTTCAAAGATGAATAATAGAATTCAAACAATGCAAATTTTTGCGTGATACAGTAGCCATGTATCTAACTTTACAAAGCATTATTAATCAGAAATATTATCCCACTTTAAAAAAATATTATTTTATTAAAGAAACTATGATAATTTCAACAAAACATATTCAGCATAATTATTATCCCCCCGCTTGAAAAGCGGGAAGGTATATAGTAATCGTTAATTCCGTCCCCCGCCCGTCTGTACGTCCGTCCGTCCTTCCGTCCGTTCGTCTGTCTGTTACGCTTTGGGGTACCAATCTCTTATCTGCAACTCCTCTCATACATGTACCACTTAATGAAATTTGATGAAACTTTCACAGAATCTTTATTACATATTGCCATTGTGCACCTCCTATTTAACTTTTTGATCCGACACACATTTAACGTTTACCGGCCACAGCGCTAGCAAATCATGGACTTTGTAATGATAACTATGTAGAGGCAGGGGTATCATTTAGTGAGCTAATCGCTCACAGTATCTAGTTTTATACAATAAATGATGAATATTTACTTTAAGTGCCAGAATGATATTGATAAGATCGACAATTATTTGTAATCAAATAAACCCCATGTTTTTTTTTAAATATCAAATTTTAAGTCTTGTATTCTATTTGATTGTTAATTTTGGAAAATTTTGTAAAACTGGAAACAGAGTAAAGAATTCAATAATGCATGTGATAGTGGCCCCATCGATCAAATTATTGTTGAATAAATTAAATAAGTTACTATTATAATTAGTATCGTATAACATTATATATATATAATGGCTACTTAGGCAATCAGCCTTTTTTATTAAAGATATAAAGTTTCCAGTCAACAGATGGAAAAAAAAACCAAACAAAATGCATTTAAGGTGAATATTGCGACATACAATTAGACATATTTTAATTTTTATATACCCCACCTGAATTATCTTTCAAAAGATCAGATATCATTACTTTTAGCTCTTTTACAAAGTTTGTACATGTCCCTTTTTCATTGAATTATCACTTGAAACATTTTCTTGCAAAATTAACAAGCATTCTTAGAGTATTGCAAAAGCAATACATGTCCCCCTACTGGGTTCCCCTTTTTCTTTAGGATGTCATTTTATAATATGCAAAAGTCATGTCCAAGGTAAAACTGAAAGATTTTCAAGTTGTAAATGCCTTAAACCAATAAAAAAATCCACATTAAGGCAAAAATTCAACTAATTTCTCCACCGTCTTTTCCTCGCGTGATATTTTTGTCAACAATCGGAAGTAAGCGCAGTTCGAACCCGATCTTAATTAAGCGATTATGAAAAATATTCAAAATGCCATAATTCTGTCAAAAATCAATGAAGCGAAGTAAAATTCAAATTTGATCTGTAACTCATTAAGATACACCCACATGCCAAAATCCAGCTTAATATCTGCAAGTGTTTAGAAAAAAGTGTGGAAAACCAAGTAGGACAGACTGACGGGGACAGACAGACGGACGGATGGATGGACGGACGCAGAGGAAACCTATAGCCCCCCCCCCCCCTGGTTTCACCAGTAGGGGACAATATCAAAAACAAAGATATACATGTTAACCAATGAATAGATATTACAGCTCTATCAAATGTATTACGTCTTAAAATTTCAACCTCTTCAACACCTTTGAAAGAATTGCAACTATATCACCGATACGTGTTAAAAGTCTTTCCAAACCCCTAAATCCTTTTAATGTATCCTGCTAAACGTATGAGTAAATGCTTATTCGAAAATTCATCAGGTTATCATAACAAAAGTTACAAGAAAATAAGATTGTAACAAGTTTTTGTGTATTTGCACTCTTCGGCGAAGAGAGATAACAGATACGTGGGTACTAGGGTGCCCTTTTAACTTGAACATTTCCCAGAACATACCATTCATTAGAATGCACTTGTTTACTGTTTTATCGGAAGATGTATTTGGTAAAAAGGAAGAAGCAACCAAAGAGATTTGGGCTGATCAGAATTCAGGTGTTTGTATGAATTACTAGTACAGAAAATAATGTTTCAAGATAATGCAAATGTCGGTAATTATTTTAAAAGTGCTTTAGAAAATTAAAAAGTACTGAAGGTCAGTATAGAAGTAATATTATTTTAAACGTGCTTTAGAAGATTAAAAAGTAATGAATGTCAGTATAGAAGTAACTACAAATTCAGATACAGATTATAAATAACTATTGCAAACTTTAAAGAAATACTGAAATATGCAGGGCATGCATGGGGGTATAAATGTAGCTCAGTGAGACAATTCAGCAGTGGAAAGCTGGATTTTGTCTCTATGGTTGTATTTATACAGGTAATATTTTGTAGACTTGTTTTGGTCAAAATTATTAAGTTTTCAATTGCTTATTTTATTTACAGGTTAAACTTTTTTTATATGATAAGTAGTTATATTTATAATAACGTTAAGTATCATTTGTCAAATTATTTATTGTAATTATAGATATTAAAATGGATTGTTTACTGTAATAAACAGTGGAAAACTGAATTTAGACTGTCTTGGTTGCTCTTCGTTGGGTAACATCGCCACTCCCCAACCATGTCAGCCGCTCAGATCCGGAAAGTTCCTTTGGAAATCAAAGAACTGAAAGCTGGGAGTTGAACATGGTGTAAATAAAATCTTTGATTGGGAGGTTAAGTGAGTGAACAGTATTATTATTTTAAATACAGACAACTGTTTCACATTTTTTGAGTTGGATCAATCTTGCTTGGGAAAGACATTCAGAGACATTGGCTAACAAACAAATGCATGGGCCATAATGCTTGCCTGTCTACATTAGTTCTTTTTTTATACCCCTGCTTGAAAAGCGGGAGGGTATTTATTAGGTCTTTCCACCTTTCTGTGGAAAGACCTATTGATTTTCTTCTGTTTATTAGGTCTTTCCACCTTTCTGTGGAAAGACCTATTGATTTTCTTCTGTTTCTTATTATTCTTCTTCTTCCGCTGATTTTTTATTTCAATATTTATCGAAAAGACATTTTGTTCATTGTAAAGGTCTTTGAAAGTTATGAACAAATTTGACCCAACGCTTATGAACTATGACCGCTTTCGAAATTATTGCCCCTTTCCCCAGAAATGCTTGTTATCGCTACTCCTTCGAAACCGTAAACTGTAGAAATATGAAACCTTCACTAAAGACTTCGACTAACTGAGAGGACTCTGGAATCTATTCATTGCAAAAGTATGCGGTGACCCCTTCAATGAGTTATTGCCCCTGAAACTTTTTTAATTTTAGAAATAATTAAAAATTTTCAAAACGAGAAGTGATAGAGACATGGGACCAACTGCATAAGATTCATTGACCTTTGATCATGAAAGTAATGCAAAGGTCAAAGGTCAAGGTCATTTCAAATTTGA